TCCCTATCTCTCTTTCTTACCACGCCTGACCAATAAAAAACACATTGTATGGTCTAACAGCCTCTCCCTACCTCAACCTCTCGCCAAACCCATTTGGCAACGGCCGCCAAACGAGCGAAGCAAGAACAACATTTCGGCAGATGGAAATCGATAAAATTAAGAGACTGCAGTCCACAGAGGATACCAAAGGGAGTCCATGCAAACAGGCAGAGGGAGAGAGAAAGAGACAGAGGGAAAACCTCGAAAAAGCATCAACAGCTAAAATGCAAAAGGGAAAAGGCAACGAATTTGTGGTTTTGGCCAAATGGAAACATTGAAAATGGCCTTCCCGTTTCCGTTTCTCATTTCTTTAGCTAGATGTTGCATGGTAAACCGGAGAGTGTTGCCAAGTAAGTGCATAATTAGGCTAAAATGTTGTATCACAAGCGAAAGGCAAAGCACATTTTGGAGGATGACTTGTCTGGGACTGTTTCTTTATCCTGTTTGAAAACGAATGGCGGTGATGATGACTCATTCAGGCACCCGTCTGTCTGTCTGTCTGCCTGGATGCTGTTGACGGAGGCTTTCCGACAGGCTTTTCCTCCCTTTCCTGTTGCCCGTTTATGTGCTGGCTGTGCCTGTGGATACATAGAAAGAGACTCAGTCTCAAGCAAGAGAAAGTGATACATAAAACACCAGTTTATAGGCACATAAGTAATACATGCATATATATATATATATTTCTGGAATGGCTTCTGACTGTGCAGGACTTTGGTTTGGTTGAGTTGAGCCTGGGGTAATTGCTTGATGCGTGGCAACAGTCTATTCAACTTTTTGGAGTGCAAATGTTACAAATATATGAGGGTTACTTTTCGAACTAAAAGTAAGGACTTTAAACTGTTGAATTATCTAGGAAAATAACTGATAAGAAGAGATAATGATAAACAGTACAAAGAAGTGCTTTGAAAGAACAACTGATTAAATCAGTAAATCATCTGCTCACAATCCAAACACATACGCCAAGAATTCTCAATTGTGGGCTTAAATTGTCATATATTCAATAGCTATTTAACAATCTACAATCTATAGGATATACTATATACTTCGCATTGGTGCCATATTTTGTTTGTTAATTATCTCCATTAGTTTATTACTTTATTCGATACCTAACGATAATCGGATACTATGTAGTTCTATTTGAGTAGTAACTGTATCTCAATTATGATCCACACTGAAATCATTACCCATTGCCGTATATTCCTATTGTAATCCATCAAAATCGAATACACTAAACACCGTTGCGCGTATTTTCGTGATATATTTTGAAGGCAATCTATTAACGTGGCCGTAAATTCACACACATGGCAACCATTCGGAAGCGTGTTCCCCAACGCCGACCTCCAACAATTTATTTTAATCTAAACATAGCCGAGCAGCATCGTCACTCATAGGCCCCCTGCCCCGTGCCGTGTGCTGCTGCTGCTCCACCACCCATGCAAAGCAAAAGTTTATTCACACCACGGCCGATTTTGTTCGGTTTCGTTCTTGTTCTTGTTCCATAATCTAATTTTCCACGGCGCACTCCCATCGGGCGAACGTTTCTATCCGTTTCAGTCTCTGTGTAACCCGCTCATAGTACATACACATGCATGTACATATCATTCGATGAAAGCGATCATCTCGTGTATCACCCCCTGTCCGTGCACCACTTTGGACTCACCCACCCACCCACTCATCTGGCGGCCCACGAATTTGGAAAGCGCTTTCGGGCGTTAGGCGTGACGGTCAATGATCACTTTTGGGCAACGACTGCGGCGGCAACAGCAAATTTGATCATCTATCGGGTCCGTCCCACAGCCAGCAATCATTTGGGTTTTTTGTTGTTGTTTTGGTTCGGGCTTGCGTTTGCGTTTGTTGGCGTTGACGCACTCTAATAACTTTTATAAACGCTGTTCGGGCAATTTTGGCCATTAAATATATTTGGCTGCCGGACAATTAAAACCAAAAGTTAGTTAACATTTTTCAGGGAAGACTTTCGAGTATGTTGACTTTGTTACAAGTGATTTAATAAAGCTGATCAGCAGTTTTGGGTAGATAAATTTTCATTGAACCTCTGTTCAATATATTTCTCGATTACAATTGTAACCCTTTTCAGTCTGAGATTAGAAATGACACTATAAGACATCAATTTAACCCCATCTATTGTCTGGAATATATGTCAAGTTATGTTACTGCACAAGTGCCAAGTAATTGTAAATATATTCAAAAAGTGCATCCCCTCTTCGGCGTGTGTTTATGTTTAATATTCCACAAGCGAGCTCCTTTCGTTTAATAATTTAATTTTGCTGTGAAAATCGAACACGCAAGTCTACGCCATCGTCCGATCATCCCATTATCCAATCCTCATTTCTTACTCCTGGACAAGGCATTTTTCTTGCAGTAGTTGCCTAGCATGCAATCTGTACATAAGAGACTTTTACTTGCTATCCTTTGCTACGCGGGGACTTCCGTTTTGCATCGAGCTCTGTGCGATTTCCGCCTTGAACAAACCATTTGCGTGACTTGAGAAATCTCATGTGAGAGTTGTACTTACATGGAGTGAAATATGTAATATATAGCATATTACTCACAATGCTGTCGATTCGCAATGTGTAGGCCAGGCCACGCCTGTCTGGACCTGTCACAGACACTTGTTGATTAATAGGCGAGAGAGAAGTCTCTCTCCAGCACCCGGTTCAGGTTGCTGACCTTCCCGTATTTTCCCATTTCCTCGTGCTTTGTCTCCGACTCTGTACCGTTCCCCCTGTACAGTTCTCCGCCAAATTAATTGGGTAATGCGAATTATTTCATGCCAAATATACCCGTCCGATATCATTCTCTGTTGGCTATTTCCATCTGAAACCGGCTTCCGGTATACTGAACGCAAACAAAAGGCAATATTTGCACAAATTTATAGAAATTTCTTTCGGCTTTTCATTTATTTCACAATGGATTTGTTGTATTTTCGTTGCTCTCACAGTTTTTCAGGTGTAAGGGGCATTCCACGAAATACTCTTTGCCGCACTGAAAGTGACTCAATTAAGAGACTGTTAAAACAATTTGTCAATATATAAATTCGCTGAAAATTAAACATACAGGAGATTTCCACAGAAATGAGACGTTGAAATAAATGCGTGTCTTAAAATTCAGTGGAAAATATATTATATATGGGAAGATGTGGATGTCCCTTAAACATTTTCGAAGAACTGATAGTTGTTAAAATATTTGCATATACATGTAAATATGTATTTATTTTCATTATGATACATATACAAAAACGTAAACCCCCCCCGGCGGGGCAAACAGACCAAGAATAAATAGTTCAGAATATTTTGAGGTCTTTATTCGCCCCGTTGCCAAAAAGTGATGCTTTACCATTCTGTTTGTGTTTCTTTGTGTTTTTTATTTTATTGATCAGCGTAGCTAGATAATATATTTCCGTGGGATCAACCTATCTTACTAGAAGCTTGCTTAGTTTGGATTTTCTTTGTGACTTCGTGCTTCTTAGTCTATGGGTTATCTTTCTTTTCCTAAGTTTCCTTTTGCCGATGGTGTGCCTTCTTTGGTCTCGCTTTGGCCTTTTCACATTTGAATGGCGTATTGGCTGCCCAATCGAAGGGTAGAGTGGCATTGGCATCTGAACAGGTTTGCCATAGTTGGCTCTTTCATCAGAGGACATATAATATTCCGGATAATTTGGTGGATCTTTAAAGTTATTTTGGAATTTCGCAATAACACACTGTTTATCGTTTGGTGGCTGTAAATGATTTATATTCTCTGATGGGTGTACACCATGCTGATCCTCTTGGGGTTGTTCATAGAATACATCCTCTGACGGGGGCACAACATGATTATCCTCTGGGGGTATACCATTCTCATTGTCAATTTTTGTATCCTGGCATTCGGTTGTTACAACTGGAAAGCATCGATTAGCACCGCCGTGTACTAGGACTGGCATATAGATAGTCCCCAAGGCAACCAGCCAAAGTCGGGGCTGCAACATTTCCATATCTGATCACACTTATGCCCTCCAGTCAACTGTCAACAGTCACCAATCCATATCAATGCTAATTTCTTATAATTTGTGGATAATGTAACATTACACGGATGTTAACAGCGGAATTATTTGTATACCCGTACTCAAAAAAGAGTTAAGGGGTATATTAGATTTGTGGTAAAAGTGGATGTGTGTAACGCAGAGAAGGAAACGTTTCCGACCCCATAAAGTATATATATTCTTGATCAGCATCAATAGCCGAGTCGATATAGCCATGTCTGTCTGTCCTTCCGTCCGTCCGTCCGTCTGTCCGTCTGACCGTCTTGTTGAGCGCCTGGATCTCCGAGACTATAAGAGTTAGGGTAACCAAATTTGGTTTCTCAGACTCATGTGATATCACACTGCTACAAGTGTATTTCAAAATTTCGCCCCGCCCCCTTTCGCCCCCACAAAGGACGAAAATCTGTGGCAGGCACAATTTTTAAGATACGATAAAACCAAAAACGCAGTATCGTAGAGAATATCCATATCTACCAGACTGCCGAATCTGAATCAGATCGGATCATAATTATAGCCAGAATGAAGAAATTAATTTTTAGATGCTTTCCCTGCCCCCTCCGGGAAACAACAACGCAACTCATTTTCCTTCTCGCTCGCACACTCTGCCGCGTTCAGTGCACGAGCAACCCCTAGCGGAGGAGATGTAGAATCTAAATGGTACATATAGAATATACATGTTAGATGTATAATATAAATAGTATATGTAGATGTAGATAACAGATGTAGCAAAAAAATGTAAAATGTAAAATTTTGTTTTTTAAATTCTAAATAATTATATGCTCAAAAATGTATATGCTGACTGAGTACGGGTATAAGTAGAGTCGCGTCCCCAGAAGCGACTCACACGTTCCTTCTCGTTTCAATTAAGGCTGTGGTGCTATGGAAATGGAATGTATTATACTTTAAATATTCCAAGTCGATGGCTTCCATATACAAGACATTCTTTTAATTGAATCGGCACTGAATTGGGATACGAATCCTAGGGATTAAACCAGTTTTCGCCTACATTTAAGATAATCCTTCTTTACTTTCGCATCAATCATTTAACATGTGACTTGACATATCTTAGCACATTTTGAAATCCCCGCCTAGGACTCCTTTGGACAGATGAAGCCCAAGGGAAGTCGCAGCCATCGCCGCTGTCTGCTCTTCAATTTGCCCCCTTTAATTCTACAAAATATCTTTCTGTTCTTAAAATACTGATACATACGCACCTACACCGTAAATATTTGTAATTCATATATATCCTCTTTTAGATCAATTTAGCTATAATTTTTCTTGATTTTCTTGTTAGCCTAATTTCTATCCTTTTCAGAATATGCTCGGTTATATGTTTCTCGCGTCATGCGGCAGCGCACCTCGCCCGATTTACACTTCTGCCTGGAATACGCGAGCAACAAATTGTTAGATCTAACTAAGCCCTTATTGTAAAAAGTCCTGGATTTTCTCTTATTAACAGTTCAAAAAATTTAAAATTAAAAAGAAGCATTTCTTTATTTATATGTTTGGTACGTTTTAGCCCCTAAATAAATTTTCCGCAGAGATTGTGTAGATCTTTGCAGTCCCTCCCCATATATGGCGCCATTAGTTTCTCACTTTTCCTGCTTGGGAAAACTTTTCCCGAACCATCTGGCATAGACCAGTGCGTGCCTCAAAATTGTATTTTGCCTTCACTGTTTTCACTCCCCCTCCCCGAGCAGCGAAAGGAAAATTCGTTTCCCTTTTTCCGCTTTGGGTGGATTGCAGCTCGTGCATTTTATAGTTTTTCAGTTGCCGAGTAAGAAAAGACTTCCCTGCACTTTTGGGCAAATTTCATGCTGTTTTCTCCAGCGCAAGAGAACGCAAACAAAAAGTGTGGATATTTATGACTGGCGTTCTATTTTGCGTTTGTTTATGCCAGTCAGACGGGGGAATGCAGTCCGTTGAAGCTGTAAGGATTGAACAATTTCCAAGTAAGTGAACAAATTTCCATCAACATAGGCCAACAAAAACCTTTTCGAGCTTAGCCCTTGCACTGTACGAGTAATTAACCCATTAGGGTGTGCAGAAAGCGACCTTTATATGACGCAAATCGTCTTGGGCAGACTAAAAAATTTCACTTACCTCGCGATTACAGTACTTGTGCCGGCAAAAATGTAGTAATTTTTCCCATTTTCATATTTTCGGCCTTTTATGTGGCATGTGGGTCGTCGCTGGGGATCGGTTGGTTGATCTCGCCGTTGGTTCGGTGGTTGTGCAAGGTCTATGCCTGGGTCGCTATTTCCACTCGCTCACATTGGTTGTTCGTGCCTTCTGGACTGTAAACTATGAGTACGGCAATGCGAAGACCTCTATTTGAAGGTTTTAATTACGGCAATTGCATGGAGAGTAGGTCAAGTGGGGGAAGCTGGTTTTTCTATTTTCCCATACGAGTATACATGTGCACGAATTTCTGTATTAGTCAAGATCAGGAACGATTTCAAGGTCTGCGATCTGCGATTTGCGATGGAAATTCCATTACAGAAAATTGCATTCAAATCTATTTTTAAAGTTAATGTGTATATTACTAAATTATTGTTGGGAGTTCCACTTGTGAATTTCAATCATTCCTGATTAATAAAGCTATTGGGATTTTTATAGTTTTCTTAGGCAACTTCCTATCTGTACGTAGTTACTTATACATAGCTTAAGATAAGCAAATGTTTACTATAGACCATTTTTTGTAGCTGATCTTTTTTTCGAAAAAGATGCAAATTATTTACATATTATTCCAAAATTATTTTGAAAATATAAATAAATTAGCTTCCGCATTTTTAAAAAACATTCTTTGACATTGACTTTCTAAAGTATTTATTAAACGTACTCTTACATCAATTTCTTTCGTATGTAGTTGTCCCTAACAGCACTCTCATTCATTGTAAGGATGAATTCAACTTGTCTGAGCAAGTATTAAATCTGTTCCTACTACTTTTGCCTGCAAGTAAACATTTGTGTCCCTATATTCAGTCTAGTTTGAGGAGATTTTTGGTTACTCATGCTATCATCTTCATTGCTTCATCTCCAACTAGCTGGCACACCTCTTATCCCACTCCCTTGTAGCCCCACACTTCTGGACATCCATTAACTCATTTTTGCACATAACAACTTTTACATTTCTTATTCTTATTTCGCTCAATTTAAAATGGCAACGAGTCGTAAGAAAATCATATCAACGCTGACTAGAAGCTGAAGAACAATTTTCATTTAGGGATTCTAGCGCATGGCCTTCCCCTTTCCCTCTGCCACAATTGCTTCCCCACGTTGTGTGTGGCAAGGCGTCATATCGAATTACTTGTTGCATAGCTCTTGAACAGCAGACAAAGACAGAGTTGGAGCGTTTTGATTGCTGTTTCTTAAGAGGGGCCATGCCACAGACTTGACTCCGTACTAATCAGCCCCCTGCCACACATAACGGAGTCTACCCCGGTCTTCCACTTGAGAGAGTTCACACCACTTTGACGTAGGGGGGAGCCTACTCATTACCCCACAGAGCAATTCCATATATCAACCTAAAAACCATTTTCCAATTTGATTTATTCGACTAATTTCACACTGCCGGATGGACGGCTGGCTAGATGGATGGACTTTGACCGAATTCTGGTGGGGGTTTGATGGGTTGGGTTGCTCTTACGAACCGCGGACTCAGAACCGGTTCCGAGTACTTGAGAAGCGGAGGGGACCGAACCCAGATTCAAGAGTCGAAAATCTTATCGTTTAGTAGTTGATCAGTTGCTTACATTGCCCACAACATTTCTTTCCATTTCCATTCCAACTTCTATTTTGGTCTTGGTTCTGGACTCGTAATTAACATTCTGTCCGCGTTCGGGTTTCGAGTTCGATTCGTGGATCGCCCTGTGCAGTAATTAATTTATGCGTGCATCAACCGTTACTTGATAATGAGCCAGCGGGGGCCCGGCAGGCAGTGCGGGCGCGGAGTGTGGTGTGGTGTGCTGCATTGGCAACTCTTATCTTTGGGGGTCTGTGAAAGCCGATTAACTTTGAGTCTTCAAGTGCGCGGGCCTGGAGGCAGGGTGTGGCAGCGTGGGGTGGGGGATAGCAAGGGATTGTGTGGATGGAGGGCAAAGTGTGAAGGGGGAATGGGAGCCAGTCCAGTCTGGTAATTATGGTCTGGTCTGAGCCCCAGAAACTGTACAGTGCGGTGCAGATATATAAAACCACTAAACCTCAAACTGCAATTGCAATCAAAGGTATCAAATGAATATAAGGAAGTGTTCGCGAATTAATCGATCAGTTTTCGACTATATAAATTTTGAGTTCAGGTTATTAACTATCATATATGAATAAATTTATACTCCTTTCCCACTAAGGCAGCTTCAAGCACATTTGTCGAATATTATTCGAAAAATACCATCCGTAGATTGAAAACAGATGAAGATCACGAAATCTTCTTACACAAACGATACATATCAATAATCGAAGGTAAAAAATTGTGGAATTGCGAAATTGCGGAATTAACAGTTCATATATGTATTATTAAACAGAGTATTGAATGATTTGCTAAAAAAAAAAAAAACAAAATCGTATTTGTAAATTGTTTTGTTATTTGTTTTTGTAATGGAGTTATAAAATCAATCTCGCTTAAACCTATGAAACGCACTTTATCTGCACATATTACAATACTCGGTACTCATTGTGATTAATTGTCAACATTTGTGGATTGGCACGGGTAGCACTGCACTTCTGTCTGCCCAAGCAACTATCCGTTCACGTGGGGCGTAGCTTTTCGAATGAGGAAGAGGAAAGGGAAAGTTGGGAACAAACGATTCCAAATGAAGATTTACAGCTTAAGCTGGCGACCGGCATGGCATGGATATTTATGGACCCACGTCCAAGGAAGTGGACCACAGGCGGACTCTTTTGGCAAACTCATTCTCTTTTGCTTTTTCGTAATTATCACTGTTCATGTTTGTTTTATATTATATTTATTCACCTACTGCAGAGGCAGTGGGTTAGTTATCCGGTACGAACGTCCGGCCATCAGTGTGGGGGGCGGGGGGGGGGGGGGGGGGGGGGGGGGGGGGCGGGGCGTGGGGCGGGGGGCCGGGGGGTAAAAAAAAAAAAAAAAAAAAAAAAAAAAAAAAAAAAAAAAAAAAAAAAAAAAGAAGAAGAAAAGAAAAGAAAAAAAAAAAAAAAAAAAAAAAATTTTTTTTTTTTCTAAAATGGGGCATGTTACACCTTTCAGCGATCAGTAAATCTAATTGTATATCGACAAGTTATTTTTATGAAACTTTTTATTCTAGTCTTTTCTTTTCATTGACTGATCATGACTGCCAACTTATCTTAAATCAAAAATAGAATAAAATGCGTAGATTCGGCCACACTTAACAAGATAAAATATTTTCCGTTTTACATTCGTTTTAGGTTATGATCGTTTAAAATTTAAAAATGTACATTTCATTTCGCATAACTCACAATAAAATGTGTACGAGTCTTAGCACTGTATTGATATTTAAAACTTTTTTGAACCAAAAGAAATATTTATTATATATATTTTATTTAAAAAATGTATTAAAATATATAAAGCTACAATTAAAACGATAAGTGCTAAGACTATGCCTTCAATTAGGAATTGTTTAAGCCCCATTATGACGCACCACACATTCAGATTATGAAATCTGAAGATCTTTAGGGAATACATTTTTGAACTGGTACGAATCAATTTAGGAAACATATAAGGGTATATTCTTTCGTTGCACAGTTCAAAGATCAGTCTTGCCTCATGCTCTACTATATCTGGCCGAACCTTGAGCTTCCTTTCCAATTATTTCCGACGTCAGTTCGTTCTAGTCAATTATACATTGTGTTCTCACTCCCATAAGCAAAATGCACGCCCGAATCGGTCCAATTAAGTAATCATTCCCATGGCTACCAGCATTTCAGCGAGTGTGGTGTGGGTGGTAGAGCCAGAAGAAACCAGAAGTTCTTTTCTTCAACAAAGATGAGACAACGGCCACTCATCATCGGATGACCACAAGAAATATCATAATTTCTTTCCAAGAAATCAGCATAGGTCGCCAGACAGATCAGGCAGACAAGAGACCAGCGACCAAAGCCCAATGATTGCCCAGACACCGAGGAGGGGCTGCTCTTGGAAGAGGGAGCTGGACCTGGAGCTGGAGCTGGTGGTCGTTGTCTCGTCGTTTCGTTCGATTGAATCAAGACCCCGTCGACGACCTCAGAGACAGGCAGCTAAATATACTTACTTGCAATCAAGAAAACAGAAAAGAAAATGAAAATATTGCAGCAGAAGTAGCAACAGAAGAGACTTGCGTAGGATCTGCAAGATCGAGAGCCCAGACAAAGCAGCTATCGCCTTCGTCCCATGTATGTGGCTGTTTTGATTTCTTTATGGTTTTTGATAAATGCTGCTCATCATGTAATTTTAAACGCGCCGCGCATGTTAAACAAACAATTTCCCGTGACAGTGTAAAATGTGTTTAAAGATGGGGAAGGGAACCGTGGCGTGGAGAATGGGGGAGAGCAGGGACTTACACCATCCAACTAATGCTGAAGGGTCGACTGGCTAGTCGTCTACACGGCCGCGGGCGACCATTACGACATGACTCGCAAAGAAAGCGAGTGTTGAATGCAACTTTTTCCATGTTTTTCCCTCTCCGCCTCGCTGTTTTTTTCTGTTGGAAAGTCTTTTGGCCCGAAGGCAGGCCTAGGCTGGCCTGGCCCGCTTGGCCCAACCCGGCGCGGCCCGGCCCGGCCCAAAGAATCGTGTTGATGGATTTCTTCCTGTCGTAAATGTTGTAAGCAAAAGATATGTCCAAAACGTTCAGCATTGCTGTAGGGGCCGGAGCCGGCCCCCGACTCTGTCTCCGTAATGGAAGTTTTTCTGGTTTTTCGCAGCTTTGACTTATCATTCAAGATGCGTTTTCGGTCCGGGTGAATGTGGTAAAATAGATGCTGGGTTGTGGATAAGCAAATCGGAAAATCGTGGTGGCGAGGCGGTATATGCAGTGTGGGAGAGTTCTGGAAAGAATGCGGCTCTATTGGGGATGTGGGTTGCTTTCGGAGCAGGAAAAATGCGTGAGAAATGTGTCATCTGAAATGATTTAGTTAGGTCAAGTCATAGCTGGATTGTTCTTTTAGATCCGGCACATCAGTTAAGTTAAGAAATTTAAATAAATCAAATCTATTGCCATTTGTGTATCTTCTCGGGACATAGCCATTCAACTGTGCATCTGTAGATGTATTTGGAACTAATAAATTGTGGAAGTATCAAAGAAATTAGTGGGTATGAAATATATCAGAAATGACTCTTATATTTTCTTCCCCATATCCCTCCCTCATGAAATCTGCAACCATTTCTTCTTGCACAACCACTATGGTAAGCGATCTTCAGTCTCTCTTCTCCCCAGGCAGATCTTGCGTTTGTTGGTGGGCGTTCCACCCATGTCGACACCATTTGGGAGTCGCCGGAGCCCGTGTGTCTCCATCGCGTATTATCATCGATAAATATTCCAGACACAGCCCCAAACGACAATTTCCATCGGATCGAAGCGGGTCTGGTCTGGCCTCTTTATTTCCTCTGGATTTCTGAGCTTGTTTTCATTTCTTGTTTTCTTGGGGCTTTGCTCTTTTACTTTTGTTTTTGCTGGCTTTGTTGTTGTCTTTGCTGTGTGGCCACAGCTGTGGCATGTGTTGCTTTTTGTTGTTTCTGCTGTGCCTTTTGTGGGCTGATAAGAGCTGGTGGAATGTGCCCGCAGAAGATTGCCTCAGAGTCGGACTGCGTCTTTGTCTGGTTGACACATTATCACCATTATGGAGGCGATTGCTAAAGTCAGAGTAAAGTACTCTTAATTCCTTAATTAAATTATGCTTTATTGTGCCTAGGCTAATGTTAAGTTAACAGTGCTCTGTTATGACAGACAACCACACGCAGCGTAAACGGCAAACACAAGAGCGGCACCGAGAGAGCGAATGAGTTTGCTTTTACTTTTGTGTTTGTTTTTGGAAGTGAAAAGAGCGCCAGCCAGCTGCACGAGAGCCAAATATAAAGAGGCGCACGTGTGCAGAAGAAACTCAGTACTGGGTACTAGTGCTCGTATTGAGTATATATTTTAGAATTGTAGATGTATGTAACACGAACACTTGGAAATATCATCAGCACACGCAGGCACATATCAAACAAAACTGTTTAGCTATGCCCCTGTCGAACTTCAATTAACATTTATTCAGAATTTATTGTCATTATTAATAGAGGGTATTTTATAGTCGGAGTGTTGATTCTTAATAAGTACCTTTCTTGCATTCATTTTCTTTTCTTTCTTTTCTTCTGCCAGACTGGTGCACTCCATGAATATGCCAAGATCATTGATCGTCAGTGGAAACTGCCAATTTGTCATCAGTTGGAGGGTGTTGAATTCTACCGAGATGGTACCCCTGTAAAATAAGGACCGCCAATGCAGTCTCGATGGCCATCGGTCATATGCGGGCCTTGTTTGAAGTGTTTCATGTTTCGCACTCGCCAGATGTCTCATAACGAGCCCTTGAGGGTGCTTTTATTGTAGCATGCAACATGATCGATCTGTATAATGGTAATGTGTATTTAATGTGGGCTTGGGCTTGTTGTTGGCAGCAATCGAAATAAATTTCGACTCGGGGTGGAATATTAGCTTGTGAGAACTTTCACAGATGAAATTCATGATAAATGGTGGGTTATTATGGAACATTTTTGGTGATTTGATTTTATTAGGGTATTTTTTCATTTATGTTAGTTATTATTTTATGCTCCAGAGTTTTCTTTTTCACTATGGAATTTAGTTATCGATGGAGCCGAAGTCCCAGATGCCAACGATCAACATAATTAATATTAATATTATTTTATAATGTAATAAAGTTAATTTGAATAAATCAATAATAAGTTATCGATGTTATTTTTTTGGTGTACCTAAATCGATTCAGTAATTTCATGTCATCAAAGATAACACTTTTTTTTTTTAATCCTGGCCTATGTTTGGTTTATATTTTGTACGAAAAAAAAATTTCAATTATTTGCCCTTTCCGAACCACTGTGCCTGCAACAGCTCTAAACTCTGCTGCTCTCTCTGTCTCTCATATTCGCCTTCTCTCTCTGTCTTCCTCCCTCGTTTCTTTTGCTTTTTACGACCAGCTCAATTATGTTGTCTGCTCTGTTATTTACTTTGCTCTCTCTCTCTCCAGCCATTGTTGTTCCTGTGGTGCGTTTGTTTTCTGGTTTTACTTGGATTTGCAGGGTATGTTAGCGCAGCAAGGTGGAGTTGCTTTGCTTTCGCTCATGGGAGATGATAAACTGCACTGAGTCTACCCTTATAGGTACATTGATATAATTTAAATAAATATAATATAATAGTTTACATAAATAATAGTGCACTCGACAATTATTAAGGGTGTTCAACTTTGCTGAGAATATTCAACGAATATTTACGCGAAACTCAGCAGTGTAACGCAAAAATGAGCACCGACATGAGCACGAACATGTCGAGACTTGTCCAGAAAAAGCAAAAACACAAATTTGTTCACGCAGAGCGGTTGTGTAGCGGACGCCGTGCCCGTTTTGATTCGATATAAATTCAAATTATCCAAATTCGAGGCAAAACTCAGTTTTTGTTTTCCGCGTTCTTGGCGTTTTGTTGAATATTCGGGACGACGACGGGTTATGTTATCCAAAGAGTCGGAATAATCGGATATAGAAATCGAATCCAATCCACGCTCAAAATCGAAAGTGAAATTCGTGGAACGGTGAACCAAACACAACGCGACGACGTGCAAGGTGATTTTTTGAATGGAGAAGTAAAGTAAAAGAGAAACAAATTCAATCCAATCACAAATCAATCTACCAATTAAAGGCAATTCATAATTAGTATTATATCGATGCTAAAGTGTTTAACAGTTTAACAACAACCCTAAAGAATTAATCATAATCAAGAATCCAGGTGATTCGGTGTGCAATACTATTGAGAGCCGGAAAACATTCAATATTGTTGAATCAAGGTACGCAAAACGGTGTAAATTTTTGGTCTGGCATAAAGGTATACACATTCGTCGCTGCCCCCACTCACAATCCCCCCCATGATGCTGCAGCAGTGGGGCTTGTATGCAACAACAAAAAGACAGAGACAGAGTGAGAGAGAGAGAGAGAGAGAGATATTTCCATGAGCCAAAACTCCCAAAACGAAGTCTGTTGTTGCTGGAAGAGAGAATGAGAGTACGTGAGAGCCAGAGTTGAGCAGAAGTTAGAAGTTGTTTTTGTGCAGCATCCCATGTGCCTGCCTGTGTGTGTGTGTGTGTTTTTGCAGAAATTTTGCCATCCTTCCTTCCTTGTCCTTCTCAACTGAAGTTGTGTGAGAGAGTACAGGAGGAAAGGCGATGGAGTGAGTGGATAAAATATTGAGTTTCAATTGAATGAGTACCATGTAAAGATCTACCTCTTTTATAGGCCAGGTAGAGAGGTTACTGGTTGAAATGAATACGATGGATTTGTGTGGATAGAAAACTGAGAGAGGTATAAAATAAAATTATTTGTAGATCACGAATTATAGATAAATCATTATATCAATGGAACAGATAGATCGTTTGGATTTGAACGCGATTACAGTGATAAATAAATATAAAATGCCAAATAATTCAAAAGATTTACGTAAATGTGTAGTAGGATTAACAGATATTTTTATTTTATTTTACTTATTCCATTAAATGTGGATACCTAGCTGTATAAATCGCCTTCAAAAAATCATATTTACATATGTACGAGTGGTAGTAAAGATGGATCTACCTCTTACAGAAATGTAACCCACTGATCTTTAAGTAGTAGATTGAGATTTTTATTTCCTATTCCAGCCAAAGTACAAAGTATTCCACTAGCCCGAATTAATTGTACCACAAAGTATTAGGTCCGCAGTATTCCTCAGAATTCCCACACACATGAGAAAATTTCGTATAATTCTTTTATTTTTTTACTATTTTTGTTTTGTATAGGACTACAATTACAATCCGTTTTGTAATTTATATTTCGTTATCAGGAAGAATCTCAGCTGATTCTGTTTTGATTTATTTCATTTTATTCTCTCAATTAATTCTGTTGTACGAGTGAGTGTCAGTCGAGTACAATGACTTTTTGTACGAATAATCGCCTGAAAACATTGTATAATCATGTATTATATCACACTTTTAGACACTTTGTCACACACAAACTCTCTCTCTCTCTCTCTCTCTTTCTCCCATGTGAGGATTTCTCTCATTTGTTTATAAACAAATACCAATTGTTTCAGGCATAGAACCGGCGAATGAGATTATTCATAGTTTATTGAATGGTAGATAGAGATTAGGTATATATGTACATATGTAGAACAGGAGGCATGTATAGGAAGAATCTATGATATTTTTGATTGAATACCGATTAGGTTTTATTTCTTAACATATGAATTCTTTCTGTATCGACCCAAAACAAGACAGAAGATGAATTTGCATGGCTTTTTATTGCCCTGACCATCCATCCACTCAATGATATTGTTCCGAGGACAGACATAAACCGATTTGTAGTTTGTTGTTTCTTCTTTTCAAAGTCGAACATGTTTCAAGAACAATCCATAGAAAAAAGAGAAAAATAATAGCTAATGAGTGAATGAAACTGAGGGAAAATGTTACGTATCGATTCGATTGCCAAAATCAATTCCAATGAACGATGAATCGAATTTCTTTGCACTCACAGCCGCAGATAAACGAAAGACAATGTATTTCGAAGATACTTTTCTCTACAGATCTGCCTCGGGGCCTCAGGGCCGGCTCTAATCAACGCGAGGTTGTCCCTCCAGCCGTTTGCCCCTATTGTTATTAATCTTTTCGGCTTTCGGTTAATCTTTGAGTTTTCTGTTGTCGTTTTTTTTTTCTGGCCTGCATACAATTTGCAACACGTTTTTTGTCTTGTCTTTTGTGTCTTTCGTCCGCTTTCCATTTCACTCGATTGACTCGTGTTCTGCCTCATCCTCCCCCCTGGGGGCTTCCATTTCAGCTCTCATATCCATGAGAAGGGTATCCATCGAGGAGCAATCTTGGGCATTTCAACATTCGAAAGTTTGTTTTGGGTGTTAATTGGGTTATGAAATGCAATTAATTAAGTCTCAAACCTCTGACTAACTGTGGAACTATGGGATCTACTCACTTTTAAAACTATGAAACTACAGATCAGTAAAATATTAACGAAATAATATATCTAGGAAAACAGCGCCAGCTGGCTGTTTCAGTCTACATTCCTGCTGCTGCTCCAACAAATAAAATTCTAATGAAATTCACTCACAGTGACACAATTATGCGATGCCCTCAGGTGTAGCTGGCTTGGCTCGGCTCGGCTCGTAATTTGCATATGGGATCTTCATACAAAAAGTATCTCTCATACCCCGCTCGCGGGCTTCGGGTGAAGAGTCGTAAAAGAGTAACCCACATTGGCCCCCACTTGGGGTTAGGTTTGGGGGCTTTGGCTTTCCTAACGGACCCGAAAAGTTATTACTATAAGTATTTATTTTGTAGTTTTCTCATTTGTTTGCTCTGCTTTGCGCAATCTTTCTATGAAGTGTGCAAAAGTTTTGTGTTGGTGCGGCCTCGTCTCGAGAGGAGTCGTCAGGGGAGTCGTTCGTCGTGTGGAGTGGAGTTTTTTTCGGTGGGTCGGTCCGAGTAAATAAACAGCAATAAAAGCGCCGTTAGATGAGCCCCCCACCACCCATTCAATTTGCATGAAATGTGGCAACTATCAGAACATCTCTCGGATCAAACCTACCCTGTAGTATCGTAGTATCAACATAAGAGATTTCAATAGTTAGCTGCCGAGGGCCCTCTTTTTATTTAAGATAATTTTTGTTTTAATTTTTATAATTTTCAGAATTTTACGCTTGTATTAAATTGTGTTTTTGTGTGGCTGAAACTATTCCCACAATCTTATTCTTTACACAAACAGACCTACCCAAAGAATATAATTACTTTTCCCCCTTCCCTGCCACTCAACACTAAGGTCATTGCCTTCACCTGATCGAAACACTTGAGTATTTTGTATCCCCTAAAATAAACAGAAGAGAATATTCTATAGTTAGACTCAAGTTCAAATCGAACAGCAGTCCTCCAGTAAATGATTGTCTACTCTTTTCCGAGTATTATCAGAATTATCAGAACGGAACGAAAACCCAAGACTGAACTCGAGTGCCAAAGTTCTAGCTAACATCGTGTTATAGAACTACTCGTACAACTTTGTGTGGAAAGATACGCTGGGTAGATAGGCATACAGCGGTGCTTATCAGCCGCAATGAAACCTCCGATTACGACGGATCTCTACGTCATTGATGAGGAATCAAGTTTGTGTATTATCGCGAAATAAAATGATAGCTATGCTGCGATGGTAAAGTCGTGAATAACTTCCTCCTAAATATGATGACAAATACTGCGCTTCCAACGAAATGCCAGGTGAGAGTCCCCACTGAGACCCCACGAAGATGGAGACAAAAAGACAGAAAGAGCAGGTGCTTCTGTGAGAGTAGAGAGTAGAGTATAGTATCTGTCTCAGCAACAAATACTCTCCAGCTAGACAATAATTGATGCCCGCCAAATGTGGTTTTTTGTATTGTTAAATTTAGCATCAGATCAGGCAATGCTATAGAGAGCGACAGATCTATAGGCTAAAGCCGTCAAGTGCGTCACATTGTCTCTCTACAGATACGTCTAGAGATACGTCGCACGAGCACGAGTACTCGTATGAGTGCGCGGGTATTTGTAGGGTTTCTTGATCTAGCCTAAGCTGCGAATCAACGAAACTACAGCTGGAAATATCAGCTGATACGAGGTGCTGCCCCTATCTCCTCTCTCTCTTGACCATTCATTATTCTTATCAGCCAGAATGTTCCCTTTATCTTTTTGCTTGTGGCACTGATAAAAGACACTCGGAAATTAGCTAATTTCTGGCGGCATGTGTCGCTGGGAAGTTTCGCTGCGAATATATTAGATAGAGGCCCGACCCCCATTTGGGAACTGGCTATGCAAATGAAACGTTTAATCAACATGAGATTTCTGATTTCTGAGCATGTTTAGATACGTAAATGAGATACATAGATACTACGCTGATCAGATATAATTTTTGGCATTGGAATATTCATCGAGGATTTAAATGTAAGAGTTATTTGGTCAACTAATTATATTTTCTATGAGGTTTTATCCAGTCACAGCAGGCGAATGTTTATCCGAGGGATGTGCTGGAAAAGGTTCTGTTTATTTTTTTCGTTATTTGTTTTAAAAATGGTAACAGAATCAGTGCATAATCGAATTTCTGTTTAAATAACAATCCAGATACGATTACAATTACAATAGAAAGGAGTTTTTCACAAGGTCTCCGATATCCATTGATCCACTCTATGGCTTAACCTCTTGGGGGACAACACAATCTTCTGCACTCAGCCTCTTCGAGCTGTTAAACAATTAAGCATGACACCTTCAATTGAAATTGATTATGGAGACGACATCATCTCATCCACGCACTGCCTTAATTAACGCGATATACTTTTGTACGAAAACACGAAAAGGAACGTGTGAGTCGCTTCTTTGGACGCGACTGTACTTTTATACCCGTACTCAGTCAGTATATAAATTTGTTAGCTTATGATTAATGTAGAATTTTAAAATATTTTACATTTAAAATGCAGATTCTACATTCACAATGTAGAGGGTCTGGGTCTGGAAACAAAATTTGGTTGCTCCAGCTTTTATAGTCCCTGAGAACTAGGCGCTCACCAAGACGGACAGACGGACTGAGAGACATAGCTATTTTGACTCGGCTATTGATGCTGGGTGGGGGTGATGGGGTCGGAAACGTTTCCTTCTGTGCGTTACACACATCCACTTTTACCACAAATCTAATATACCCCTTAACTCTTTTTGAGTACGGGTAAAACAAGGCCGAAACAAGCAGAGATCTTCACTTGACGACCAATTATGTTTGGAGCAGAGCTTCGGGCATA